AACAAAACTCTTTCTCAAAAAAAAAAAAAAAAAAAAAAGAGGCCAGGTGCAGTGGCTCACAACTGTAATCCCAATCCCAGCACTTTGGAAGGCCAAGACGGGTGGATCATGAGGTCAGGAGTTCAAGATCAGCCTGGCCAAGATGGTAAATCCACATCTCTACTAAAAATACAAACAAAAATTAGCAGGGCACGGTGCCTGTAATCCCAGCTACTTGGGAGGCCGAGGCAGAGAACTGCTTGAACACAGGAGGCAGAGACTACAGTGAGCTGAGACTGCACCGCTGCACTCCAGCCCAGGAAACAGAGTGAGACTGTCAAAAAAGAAAAAAAAGTTTGTTACCATAATTTGGTTAAAACACTTTATATTTCAAAAGTATAAATAATAATATTAAAATGCCTATTTAAGAGATTAATTGAAAGTAAATTTTGTAGACTTATAGTCATACTATATTGTAGAAAATACTTTCTTTTTTTTTTTTGAGACGTAATCTCACTCTGTCACCCAGGTTAGAGTGCAATGGTGCGGTCTTGGCTTACTGCAAACTTCCCTTCATGAGTTCAAGCAATTCTCCTGCCTCAGCCTCCCAAGTAGCTGGGACTATAGGCGTGTGCCACCACACCAGCTAATTTTTGTGCTTTTAGTAGAGATAGGGTCTCGCCATGTTGGCCAGGCTGGTCTCAAACTCCTGACCTCGTGATCTGCCTGCCTTGGCCTCCTAAAGTGTTAGGATTACAGGTGTGAGCCACTGCACCTGGCCAAAAATACTTTTTAATTTACATAAATGCAGGTTGTCTACAAACACTACACATAACAATGCTAATTGTTATGAAGTAATAAACAGAAACCAAAGTACAACTCAAGACTTCACTGTTAAGTTTATACACTGAACTGCTCTCTTTTGCAGTGCGAGTACCTCAGCCTGCAAATATTAATTACCTTGAATAATCAGTTTTCTGTCAAAGAAACTACTCAGTATCTTTTAGTCTTTATCATTCTGTATTGCCAAATTTAATCCTATTTTTGTGCTCTATTTTTGTGTGCTTTTAACATGAGCTTTGAGCTAAACAAATCCGTGTCTACTTCAAAAGACTAAAAATGAGGCCGGGCACGGTGGCTCATGCCTGTAATCCCAGCACTTTGGGAGGCTGAGGCGGGAGGATCATGAAGTCAAAAGATCGAGACCATCCTGGCCAACATGGTGAAACCCCATCTCTACTAAAAATACAAAAATTAGCTGGGCGTGGTGGTGCGCGCCTGTATTCCCAGCTACTCGGGAGGCTGAGGCAGAATTGCTTGAAACCGGGAGGCACTCCAGCCTGGCACCTGGTGACAGAGCAAGACTTTGCCTCAAAAAAA